ATATTTCAGATTTTAAAAATGTCGGAGTCAAAACCTAGAAAAAAAAGAGGTAGTACATGGGATGAAGACAGTTTAAGACGTGCCATGGAAGCAGTACAAAATAATAAACTTAATACAAATGCTGCAGCGATAAAGTTCAATATTCCAAGACGCACCCTTAGAAACCATATATTGAGCGGTAACAGTGCTAAAATTATTGGGAAGACGACTATTCTCACAAAACAATTAGAACAAGATTTATCGCAGCGAATCATACGGTTTGCAAAACTGGGTATACCACTTACGCCTAAATTTATCAGAAAACAAGCCTTTTTATTTTGTGAGAGGTTTAAAATCAAACACTCGTTCAATATGTCAATTAGAATGGCTGGACGCAAATGGCTTAAAATGTTTTTATCTCGAAACCCATCAATATCAAAAAGAAAACCCCAGTTAATGAATCCAGCTAGAGCTCAGAAAATGAATAAGCCTATTGTTAAACACCACTTTGAAGAAGTGAAGAAACTCTATGAAGAGTTAGATATTATTGCACATCCAGAACGTCTGTACAACATGGATGAAAAAGGGTGTCGCATTACGGTCCACAAACAAAATGTAGTTTTGGCTGAAAGGGGAAATAAAAGAGTACATCTTGTTGCTCCGGAACACGCCGAGAATGTAACAATAGCAATGTGCGTAAATGCTGTGGGTACTGCTATACCGCCTATGATTATTTTTAAAGGGATTAGGCACAGATCAGAATTAGCAGAGAATTTGCCACCTGAAACAAAGGTAAGCATGGCACCCAAAGGCAGCATGACCAGTAGCTTATTCGTTGAGTTCATTGAACATTTAGCACAACATAAAGTATCCGGTAAGTGTCTACTTATCTTTGATGGCGCAAAGTGTCATTTATCATATGAGGCTCTGGAAGTAGCAGATAAAAATAATATAGTACTATACTGCTTACCTTCAAACACGACGCACGAACTCCAACCTCTAGATAAATCAGTGAATCGGTCCTTCGAACATCACTGGGATGAGGAAGTTCTAAACTACCTGTGCAATTCTCAAGAGAACCTCTTCCTCTCTCCTCTCCTCTCTCTTAAACAAAGCTGCATTTAACAAAATTTTCTCCTGAACATGGCCAAAGTGTATGACTCAAACCAATGTAACGAATGGATTTAAAGCCACTGGTTTATACCCCTTTGATCCCGATGTCATACCCGAAGATGCTTATGCTCCTTCCATTGTAACTGAAAGATCTTTATCGGAAATGTTACAACACCAGATGGACCAACCACTTATATCTGTTCAAGTCTCGCCTCCTATGTCTGAAGTTAAGAAAGTGTCAGAATTGTCGCCAAAATCTGCAGCTGCAACACAAAAAAGTAAACCAGTTCTTGTTTCTTACAGTTTTTCAAGTGATGATTCAGACTTAGAATTAGGTATTATGGGAAATGATCAGTGCCACCACGTAAGTTCAGTACACGTTGAAACCGATGCAGATACGAAACATGACCCTCAACGATCTCTGTACGATAATCCTCTTCCGAGCACGTCTGGCTTGCAACAAAATATCGTCTGTTCTAGCTCTGAATCTGATCTTGATTTTAATCTTGGTGAATCATTTATAAAAGAAAACTACATGTCTAAACTTCAAGTCTCGGATCTATACAGCTTTTCTACCTCATCTGATGATGATCTCGAACAGAAATTAGAAATCACTCCAAAAAAACTATTAGTGCAAAACAAAAGCTCAACTAAAGAGTCATGAGACCATATCTTCAGATGATGACGAGCCGTTAATTAAGCTAATAAAGGATAAAGAAGAATCGTTTCATACTTTTTTGCCTACTCCAAATTACGCTACGATAAAGTCTTCACGTCCACGGCAAAAAGCTATTAACTATAAGGGACAACGAATAGTAAAAGATTTATTTAAAACTGGAGATAAAGAGAATAAGATGAAGCAAACGACGAGTAAGAAAAATGGAAAGTCTACAATTAAAAAAGATCAAAAAAAGAACACCAAAAATAAAAATGATCCTGTAAAACGGCTTAAAAGAATAGTACCAAAACAAAACAATAAAAGATCGAAAATAGAGAAGAAGAAAAGTGCAGAAGATGAAGAGAAGGAGTGGTACTGTCATGGATGTGGTGAGTGTAAAATGAGAGACATGAGGCAATGTACCCAATGTCAAAAGTGGTACCACAAGGAGTGTATGGGTCTCACTAAAAAAGATCTCATATTTATATGCCCAAATTGTGATTAATCTATCCAAAGTTAATATCTTTTTAGTTTCTAAATTAGTTTTCGAAATTAATCTTGATTTTGTTATAATTATTTTCGTCTTTTAATCTTAAGAATACTTAGTTGATTTTAAATATTCCTAACTACAAGACTGACTATGTGCCATGATAAGTTTTTTATAATTACAGTAGTCTGTAGTTTCTATTATTTTATTGTAGTAATTAATATAAAAAAGTCATTGTCACACTTTATTGTTAGCTTGGCCTTCTTAGGAACATTGTGGCCTTACAAAGAACGGACCCATAAGAAGGCCATTTTGGATAAAAATAAAAGTTTTTAATTTTATTATAAAACACGTTGGCAAGTTCTTTGTTGCTAATATGATACTTAATAATACTATTTTTAAATAACTTCCATTAATATATTCTTAGTTACACGATGGTGTTCAAGTAATGTTCATTAAGTTTTTTATAGACGATTAAAATACATTGAGCATTTAATGTTTCGCTTAAATGATGGAGCTTATTATGTAGTTTTTGTAAAAGCAGATATATATATTGTTACCACTCTATTTTTAAGTTTAACGACTGATGTATAATATTGGCCTTGTTTGGAGCCGTGTTCCTTGCAAGGCCATTTGGAAGAGCTGTATAAAACTTAAATTTAATAAATAGTGGTTAAAGTTAGGTAAAAAGAAAGTCAATTATATGGTGCGCAATAAAACAAAATATTACTTAATAATTGGTTTCCTTAATTTATCCAGTAAATAAACGAATAAAAAGTGTTTACTCGTTAGAGTGGCCTTCCATGGTCCACCTACCTTAGATTGGTTTTCATCTTATCTTCTTGGACGTCAGCAAGCAGTTCGAGCTGGCGGTGATTTATCGGATTGGTGCGATTTATCGGCTGGCGTCCCACAAGGCGGTATTCTCTCTCCTCTGCTATTTTCAGTTTTTATCAATCTCATTACCTCCATTCTTCGCAACTCTTACCATCTCTACGCAGACGACTTACAAGTTTACGCTCAAACTGGGGTGAATGACCTGGAAGCTGCCATTGGGTCTATAAATGATGATCTTCAGCGAATTTCGGACTGGTCTCGCAATTTCGGTATTAAAGTCAATCCGAATAAATGCCAGGCCATTATCCTGGGCAGCTCTCGTCTTTTGGCGAAGGTGGACATGAGCTCTGTTGCGTCTCTCTATTTTGAAGGAACCCCAATAAAGTTTTCTCCTGAAGTTGTAGACCTGGGTATACAGATTGACCATTCTCTCAATTGGATAGCACAAGTAGACGCTATAAGCTGTAAGGTGATCGGTATACTTCGGTCATTCTACCAATTCAAAAATTTTCTTCCAATATCTTCAAAAATTCTCTTGGTTCAATCCGTAATTTTGCCCATTATAGATTATGCTGATGTGTGTTATGCTGACATATCTCAAGAACTTCTTAACAAATTGGATCGATTGCTCAACAACTGCATTCGTTTTATTTTTTGTCTCCGTAAATACGATCACGTTTCTGCCTTTCGGAAGAAGTTAAATTGGTTAACAATTCGCCAACGTCGAAATTTCAGAATTCTTTCCACCCTATATTCAATCATTAATGATCCATGTGCTCCTGGATATTTGAAATGTAAATTTCGGTATCTTGGCAGTATCCATAATCTGAATCTTCGGTCTAGCAGCAAACAAACTCTAGCTTTTCCCTCTCACCATACTGGTTTTGTTTCCAACTCATTTTCTCTTCAAGCTATACGACTCTGGAACGCACTGCCTCCTCATATTCAAGATGCTCCGAACAAACTGGCTTTTAAACGCTCCGTACGTCATCATTTATTAGATTCCTCCTCCGCATCCTCCTGATATGATATGTATTTGTATGTATATATCTAAATATATATTATTATTTATGTTTTTTTATAGATATTTATTTTATGTAGTATATATATATTATCTTGTTTACATAGACATAAAAATATAATAAGTAATTTGATGAATTCTTTTTGCACTACCTTAAAAATTTTGCTAAAATTCTCCGGTTGACTGGTAGAGAATGCCTAATGGCATTAAGTCCGCCACTTGTACATACTTTTGTGCAATAAAGTATAAATAAATAAATAAATAAATAATTACATAAAATTAAATTTTACAGGAGCTGTATAAAACTGATACCTACATTGAGCTTTTGGCATGGTTTTTAATTTGTAAATTTAGTAATTTTAATTCTGTTTTAGGCGGATTTGATTGAAAATTATTTGAGATTCAAATTCAATGGACCCGAAATCTCCGGACTGTAAAAAAAGTAGTTTGACCAGATGCGTAATTATACAGTTTTGTTCGCCAGCTCCTCATATTGCATCAGTTACATTACCTGTGGGTAGCGTTGCGTCGCACGTACGCATCGCTAGGTGAGGTGGGGTAGCTACCGCCGCCCAACTGCCCCACCACGACGTCGACGATCTCAAGGCGAGCGCCGTGCCCAGACACCAGCCAAACAGCCCAGAGCGCCGCCTACTACGCCCGCCACTAGCGGCACACGTTAAATATATACCTATAATATTACATCAGTTATATTACCTGTGGGTAGCGTTGCGGACGTGCGGGGTAGCTACCGCCGCCCCACTACCCCACCACGACGCCGGCGATCTCAAGGCGAGCGCCGCGCCTGCGACCGCGAGACCAACCGCCCAGAGCGCCGCCTACTACGCCTGCCACTAGCGGCATACGTTAAATATATACCTATAATACAGCATCAGTTACATTACCTGTGGGTAGCGTTGCGTACGTGCAGGGTAGCTACCGCCACCCCACTGCCCCACCACGACGCCAGCGATCTCAAGGCGAGCGCCGCGCCCGCGACCGCGAGACCAACCGCCCAGAGCGCCGCCTACTACGCCCGCCACTAGCGGCAGAGGCGGCATAGCGAACTCCACCTCGAGCCCCTCTAATATAGCCTTGCGCATACGTTCCACCTGGACAACGGAAACAGTGTTATCAGTTACCATATCATCTTTTTCCTAATGTTAATCAGATCTATTCAAGATAGTTTAAAGTACAAATTGCAACGAGACGTGTGTTAATCAAATTCTAATACAATAATAAATAGAATGCGATCTCGGTCCCCAAGCATAAAACTCCTGGATGATTGCTATTGATAGGAATATTTGTGAACACTAAACATTTTTTCATTTATGATACAAACTTTTTCTTATACTATAATAATTGTCGCCAAACTAATCAATAAATCAAATGCGTTTACAAAAAAAAGCAATAAAGAATATTTTTCAAGTGTGAGTGGTTTGTTTGCAAATTTTCCATTGACAAGTCGGCTGAGAGTAAAACAGTACGATGGGTACAAGTTTACGAGTTTCGTGCAGGCGCTGCAGCAGCTTGCCGTCGAAGTAAAGCCACGGGGCGGCCACCAGCCACGGTACGGGCGCGCCGCAAGCGTCGTTGGCGAGTAATGCTGCCTTATACGAGTAGGTCGAGTACAACATTGTAGTAGGCACAAAGTCACCTTGACGACGGTGTCGAGGTGGTTGTCACACAGCTGCGCGAGGTGCTTGCAATGGTTGGCGCGGTGCAGGTTGCGCTGCAGCAGCTTGCCGTCGAAGTATAGCCACGGGGCGGCCACCAGCCACGGCACGGGCGCGCCGCAAGCGTCGTTGGCGAGTAATGCCGCCTCCGCGCCGGCCATCACTAGGGCGCCAAGCTGTACTCCACGCGAGCTAATTCCGTTGACCTGCGTTACACATTTATATACGTTAACGGCCGCACACATCAATGTTTGATTAAAGATGGACACTTTCTTTGCGATAATATAACGAATGAGACAAGACGTAACTTATTAGAGCATTAAATTCATTTGACGTTTATTGTATTTATTTCAAGGATTTAATATGTTTTAAACATATTAAATGCTTGAAATCTAAAGAAAATTTTACTAGAAAAAAATTCTCGCGCTCCAGGCAGCAGACGGAACTCGAACCGCACCCTCCGCTACCCTGGCACTTCAATTTCACGTTTCTGAATACGGCTGTTAGAACGGCAAATAGAACCAATTTTTCCAACGTGCCGTTTTCTTTTTACATGCTAAATACGACCAGCCAACACATTCTTATGGTTCATTCAGTGAAAACGGAATGGTGTTTTTATGGCGATTTATGGTAACATTTCCATTATTTTCTTACTGAACTGGACCAAAACTTTACGTATATTGCCGTTTGTCACCGCCAAGTAGAAGTATAGTCAAGCTATAGCCGACAGGCTATCACTATTCTATTTACACCGGAAGCTGGAAGAATAATTTGAGATCTCACACGGGTATAGATGTGAGATCACAGATTATTGGATGAATCCAGAAAACATATGCATCGCTTACGCCATTTGGCGAACAAAAACAAAAGAAGTTGTCGCCGGTTAATAGCAGCTATTCTCGTTAGTCCAATGGGCAAAGCTAATTACAGATGGCATTTGAGCTGTATGGCCTATAAAAAGTATTCTATCACTTTGAGTCAGTCAATTCCGTGTGTTTTCTTTTGTAAAATTCTGTAAAATTGCCTTTTTACTATCAGCAAAGGTAATAAGTAATCCGTATATGAAACATAACTTAAGTGTTTCACAGACTGATTCCTATATTGGGGTTGAAGAGTTGAGGAGGATGCTAAAGTATTGTAAAGAGGACCTAGACAGTACTAAAAATTTTCCACTCTGGTTATGTTAATATATATTTTAAGTAAATTTTAAAGAATCAAACAGTTTCTGCCCGAGTTTAAACATTTCATTATGTATTTCAAGTGTAAATATAACCTATCGCTCATCCTTGGAAAGGTGGTTATTACCATTTGTATTAACCCAAACTTTTTGTATCTATTTTGATAGATAACGTGGGCTATTAGACACCAAGCGCCTCTCGCGGTTAGAATTATTAGTTATCTTACCCATTCTTACACACCGCAGCTATAAAAAACTGATCGTCACGTCATCCAGATCTCAACCATAAATAATCTCATTCTCGGTGACAAACTGCCTTATGATAATTTTCTTTAATTTTGAATTAAGTTACGCTAATATTATCAATTTACTTACAGTCATTTCTTGCAGGTGAAGAGCATTCATAAGATCGCTTGAGAATGCTGTGGCCAAGAAAGCATCTAATTCTTGACGTCTCAGGATTTGAATTTGTGAGGTCATAATAAATCTAGAAATATATAACAACATTAAGTAAATACCGCCGTAAAAGCATATCGCTAATAATATCGAAAGAAAGCACTCTTTACCTAAGCACAGTAGCTAGTATAAGGAGATGTTGAGGCACATAAGAAGTGTTCAGCATTAGTGGAGTATCAGATCTCATACAAGAGAGAAAAGCTCTCATTCTTCGGCATTTGTCATCCTGGGCGGTTCTGTAATTTTTAATAAGCATTGTCAGACTTTAATATATTCATAATATGGTATCCTACTATTTAATATTAACAATGTCAAAGTTTGTATGTTTTTTACGCAAAACCGTCTGAACGGAATTGGATGAAATTTGGCACACCTGGATTGGGGCACTTTTTATCACAAAGAAATGTTTAAATCTAAAGAAAATTTTACTAGGAAAAATTCCACGCGGGCCAGGCAGCCGACGGGACTCGAACCAGCACTCTGCTATCTGAGCGAATGCACTGACCATTATGCTACCGCGGCCCTGATGGCCGTGTCGAATTTTCCTTAGCCTTTCTTAAGCTGCAAGGCAGCGCGTTGTAGAAGGTAACCCACAAAAATCCTTTAGATTTAAATGGTAAGTTTCTAATGAATCATTTACTAACAAAGTCGCGGGTGGCAGTTAGTTTTTTTTTTATTTGGATAAACAATTTCATATTTTTTTTAAATAATAACAAACAAAATATTTTAGACGCTACACAATCTTCTACGAGTATTGTCTTCATTGGTGGACCACAGGTTATCTATTATTTTTAGTATTTCAGTAAAAACACAATAATAATAAATAATTTAATTATATAAAATTTATCTATAGACATCTGAATTATAAAGCTCACCCGAACCAAAGCCTCTGCACAGTAGGCACTGGCCAGTCAAGTACGATTCCAGGTACAACTTCGGCGTTTTTGCCAGGATTCACGCGAGAATAAATCCACTCTGATATTTGAACTGTACATGGGCGATCATTGTTAGCAGAAGTTGTGGCTTGGCCTTCCTCTGAAAAGAAATAGATTTTAGCACTATCTGTTGTTTAAAAGCTTATATTTAACTTGCAACATAATGTATATGTATTTATTCTCAACCAATAGAAGAAAGATGAAATGTGGCATACCCGTTTTCAGCTTGGATATTAATGCAGGGTTAGCTAAGTGACGTCTTTCTAAATACAATATGGTGCACGGCTTACGATGGCCGACTAGAATTTTTTTGTGCATTCTCATAATATGGGTATCAAATCAAAGGGTTACAAATGATACTGCGGAAAGTCACCTTTAACATGTTCATGCATGTTGTACAACATGCATAACTGTTCTGCCTGATCAGTCTGTAGAAGTGATCTTCTACAGATCACTCTGAATCAGGAAGAACCATCAGGATGGAAGGTATTTCGCGGTGGTGGTCGTCTTCCATGAGGACTGGCAGGGTGACGTGGCGATGGGTGAGGATTAACAGCATCTGTGGGTGCATGAGACCGCGCGCGTGACGTCCCGCGCAGATGCGTGGTCCCCTGATATGAGTATTAAATTACAAATGATACTGCGAAAACTCACCTTTGGCTTTCTGCGCCATGGACCGATGATTTATTTTTTATTTATTTATTTATCAGGCATGCCAACATTTTTACACCCAACATAATTTAAAAAGAACATACGTTATACATAGAGTTGTGCAAAAACAGTAAAAAATGATGGTGCATGTTGTACAAGATGCCATAGACGTTCTGCCTGATCGGTCTGTAGAAGTGATGGATGGAAGGTGTTTCGCGGTGGTGGTCGTCTTCCATGAGGACTGGCAGGGTGACGTGGCGATGGGTGAGGATCGACAGCATCTGCGGGTGCATGAGGATGCGCGCGTTGCGTTCCGCGCAGATGCGAGGTCCCATGATACGATTATCAAATTACAAATGAGACTGCGAAAACTCACCTTTGGCTTTCTGCGCCATGAACCGATGATGGTGCATGTTGTACAAGATGGCATAAACGTTCTGCCTGATCGGTCTGTAGAAGTGATGGATGGAAGGTATTTCGCGGTGGTGGTCATCTTCCATGAGGACTGGCAGAGTGACGTGGCGATGGGTAAGGATCGACAGCATCTGCGGGTGCATGAGGCCGCGCGCATGACGTTCCGCGCAGGTGCGTAGCACTTCAGCCGGTGCGGCCGGGCAATTGTCGTCGTTCAGAATTTGCTTATTGATTGGCCGACCCTGGATTGGAACACTTATGAGTACATTTTTAAGAAAAATATAACAGATATTTATCATATAACGTGTAACAGAAATAACTCACACCCTAAAAAACGTTTGGTCATAATTGGTTTCTGAATAGATTTCGATTAAAAAAGTAAAAAAAATAAGCAAAAAAAGACATTACTTTAATCATTATTAAACAAAAGAATTTGATAAATAATGCAAGGTGGAGAATCTAGTTCTAACATGGAGATATCACTGTCTGAATTGATTAAATTAAAATCACTGAAATTGATTCATTTGTATATTTGTAACAAACTACTTTTAGGGTGTGCATTAATTCCGTAGTAACACATTGTTTATATTTAAAAATTTCATTATTTTGTTAAATACCAGTGATAAACATTTACAAGAAAAACCATAAATACCCCTTTTTACGACTGACCTTTTTCTGTTAATAAAGTAATAAGAATACTCCACCTCTTTTGTCGACGTTTGCGGTTTGTCGTTCTTGTCCACAGGTTTCGATGGTTGCTGGCTGAAGTTAACCGCATCACCACCGTCGAGCGAGAGGTTGGCTAGGCCGTGATGTACTTCTGTTGCCCGGTCTTCCATGCTAAAGTCTGCGTTCATTGACGCGTTTGCTGTAGCCAATTTGTAATCTTCCAAGCCTTTTAGCTGTAATTTATTTATTGTCTGTTTTTGAGCTATCCCAAGTGCTTAGTGTTTATAAAAACAAAAAACAGGTAGCTTAAGGAAAAAATAATAAGTATGGATGAGAAATAAGGGCATGAGGATTAGTATAAAAGGTTCACACGGCACTGAGACAAACCTGTTGAAATTTAGACCCATGCATAGAATGAACAATGGTTTATCAAAGGTTGCCAATGTTTTTTTATGAAGTGCAAAAGGCGTGGATGACCATAGCAAATACGAGGATTTGTATTGAATTATAAGTTATAAACCTCATTTTCGGATGTTTCTGTAGCCAACTTGCTTGTATCCATATCCACGACAGTTGACTGTGGGCTGAGGTCTGATTTCTGGCCCTTCTTGTTATTCTTTGGTCGACGACCTAAATTAAAAGCAATATTGTTATGTCTTATTTTGAAAAATCGTATTTGAACAGTAAAATAACTTAATTATTAACATAATAAAAAATACTTCTACCTGAAGCAGTCCTATATTTCAAGAAACCGTCTTTTGTTCCATTCAAATAGTACTGCACTGCTTGCTTAAGTCTTGCAGCTCTCAAGTCATTAAGGTCTCCAAATATTTCAATGCAAGCTGCTTCAACATCTGACGATGGCAGATCACGTACAAACTGACAGATACTTTTAACTAAAGTTTCAGGAGGTACCTGCTATATTTATAAAAAAGATTTTATTCATTAAAATATTTATGCATTGACTTAAGATAATATAAGGAATCTTTAAAACTCACCTTCTTCTGAGTAATTCCTAAACGTTTATAAAATTCAGTTAGACTCTGTTCAGAAAGAATCGTGCCACCCAATAATGCAGCCATTAGGCAAAGACGATCTTGAGGAACATCCAAAACTCGAGGTAATTCATGCACCATGTACTCTTTTGTTTCCAAGGAGGACTAAAATCGACATAATTTGATTTATTATTTTAAAAACAGCTTAAGTACCAATGATATATGTACTTTAAAGTATTGTAGTAAGTGTATATGGCAAAACATAAACCAGGGGTGCTCAAACGGTCGATCGCGATCGACGTCGCTCGCAAGTGCTTTTTGATTAGATCTCGAGATTTTTTTTTTTTTAATAAGTAGGTACCTACTTAACTAAACTACAAAAATTTATTACGTAATAAAATAACACTCTGCTAGCGGGAAAAGGCGGCTTTATCAAAGGAACGCGCGGTACTTGTCAAAGAAAAGCCGCGTTTTTTATTCTTGCCGCTTTTCGAAAAAAATCTGGCGGCGCGTTTGACGGGAACATTCGAGACTTACGTTCACGCCGATATAAATGTTGCGCCTGCAGGATTTGGAGTCATTCTGAATTGTAACTTGAAGGCAATACTACGTCGATACAAAGTTTATTATTAAATAGTACAAAATGAGTGCAGCGAATAAATCTAAAACGTATCATTTTAAAAAAGATTGGGAGGAAGAATTTTTTTTTATATGGTGAAGGATAAGTCTTGTTTGTCGAGCGTCAGTTGCAATACCTAAGCGTGGTAACTTAGAGAGGCATCATAAAACGGTTCATAAAAACTATGAAAAGGATTTTCCGCCACAGAGTGAATTAAGAAAACGAAAAGTACGTGATTTGATATCTTCTTTGAAAATATGGTAAACAGCTGTTGCTTCAACACCATATTCCTAAATTAATAAATAATCTGCCAGAAACAATTAAAAATAAAAATACTCAAAGTACTATTAATTCCATTTTAAAAACATAATTTCTATCCCTTTTCATTACAAAAACCAACATCGACATGATATAAAACTAAAACAAAAAATATGAAACACGAAATCAGCCCGTGTGTTACCACTCTTTTGGTGTATTACTCGGCGCGGTGTTTGGCCAACCGCTACCCAGTGTTGCCAACTCTACGACTTTTTACGTAGATCTACGTATTTTAGGCCTTTTCTGGAAACCTACTTCAGTCCCAGAATCTACGTATTTTCTTTTTTCAAATTTGTAAAATGACTTAATTCACTAGAATAAAGAAGAATATTTTCCGTTACTTTACTTAAAAACTATACAAATGTTTATTTCTTATAGAGATGTATCTAAACACTCTTGTATCTCGTAGAAAAGATTCCCGTTATTGGTTTTGTTGACTAAATTAATGCTGGACGCGGGATTTGTGAAAGCAGAAACTACAAAACTCTTTGACTTAGTAGGTACATTCATTACCTTAAAAATTGTATTTTTAAACTTTTAATATTATCAATGAGTACCTACTCACATCGAATTGATCTTTGCTAAAAGAAAAAGACTTTCAGTCGATAAAGTTACAGGATTTAGCAAGTTTTAAGCATATGTTCATGTGTAACTATGTTTTTTCTCTTGGCAATTTAAACCACAACTTTTCTAGAGTCTTTTACCAAATGTATCATGATAACTACTATATTTTTCATGTGATCTATTAGAAATCATGGTTATATAATATTAACTTAGAAAGTTTATTTCCTACGTGCTTGCGAGTGTTTGTTTACAAATGTTTTGACGTCATAGCATAGATAAGTCTAAAGACTAAAGAGCGTTTTCGTATGTCTTCTAGGTAAAAAAAAATTTTTTTTTCGTTCTGATAGAACAATTATTAACAATTTAAAACATAATTCCAAAAAGTGTCAACTAGCCCATTTAACAACAGTTTATCCTTGTCATTCTCTATACAGAATGAAAAAGAGGAGCCTGATGTTTAATTAAGTTTTAAAGGACAATGTTAAAATTGGCCTAAGAACCAACACCAATTTGGCATTTATGATAATTCTTAGTATATTTTTTGCGATAATTATCAGTATTTAGATTGTGACGGACACTTTCAGTTAAGTAAGCTAAATTAAAAAGTTAAAAAATAATCTGAGACAATAAATACCATTTTATGTGTATAATCTATGGCAGCGCTGCAAACAAAACACTCTTTCTTCCTAATGCCGGCACTTCACTTGACTATTCGTATTTGCTATTTTAAAACATGACATCAGTCTGTCCTTTTCATTCCTTATTAAGCATGACGAGGACAAATTGTTGTCAAGTGAAGGGCCGGCATAAAACTTGATACTCTGTGGTTGTGGTGCATGCAGTTCGCATTCGTAGTAATCTGTGGCATTCGTGCATTCCAAAGAGTAGTTTAAATACAGGAAAGTGCATTCTCGTTTCGGATTACCTGTTGTGTGTGTTTATTTGCGATTGTTTTTCCCCATTTCGGCTATCTAATATGCCATCGATGTTACCAAAGAGCAGAGCCCTTATTACCAAGTGCTAGTGAACCTGTGCCACAACATCCTGAGAGGATCATACTGCCAAATTATTCAAGAACACCTGATACACATTCACGCTGCATATTTACACAATATACATGTGATATGCAAATAAATACAATAAACAATATGATACAATTGTGTGAAAAATAGTCAATAAATAAGAAGCAAAACTACAGTTTTTATTTTATTCATGATTCCTACCTTACCAAGTTTTTCCTAATAGTTATTCTTTAAAATCGCACCGAATAAAATGAATTAGTTGTAATATTAATTCACTTCATACTGAGTTCATACTAAATTCATAGGTTGACCTATGTTTCATTAAATATTAAACATAACCTCAAAAAATTTTTAGTTTTCCTAATAATTTAAGTTCTCAGAAGTGTCCGTCAAAAATATTTGTTTTTACAGTCATTTACTTACGATTTTGAACCTAGAAAATAATATTTCTTGATTGTTGGTTCTTAGGCTAACTATGTATGGACGCTGAACAATGTCCTTTAGAGAACCATCCAGAATCGGCACCCACCAGTGTCTGATGGTAATTTTTTACCACAGCATGGTAAAATGCTTCCAATGCAGCGACTTCTCCATGAACTCTTTGTTCTATCTCCCGTTCTTAAACAAATTGTATAACTAAATACTCGTTTTATTCGGTTTCACCTAGCTTCTTCATTTCACTCAGAAAAAAGTACGTAGATCTACTTACTTTTCATATGCAAAATTTACCAATTCTACGTAATTTTCCCATCAGGCTACGCCTTTTTCAAAATCCGAGTTGGCAACACTGCCGCTACCTAGCTTTTCACTAAAGGTGGTGCGGTATATATAAAAAAATATAAATCACATTACCTTACCGATTTATGTCTGATGAATGAATGGTTTTATTTAAATTTGTTGATTGTGTAGTCGTACCTGCGGGTCTCGATGGCGAACGGCAGTGTCCGGGAAAACCAATACTGGTTTTTGAGACACTGTTATAAACTTAAGATTATAATGTATTTCTTTTAATATATAATAAAAAAAAAGAACAAACCATGTTCACAAGACCAGCCAAACAATCAAAAGTTGCTACGATCGCGTCATTTAAAATATCTCATACATTGGCAAAACATAAGAAACCGGTTCGGTTGTGAAGGAAGCATTTATTGAAGCGGGTGAGACTTTATTTGGAAATTTTAAAAATAAAACAGAAATCATGTCTGCTATTAGAGAACTTCAGTTATCTCGTCCGACTGTCACAAGGCGTATTGAAGTCACGAGTCAGGACATGGCAGATAAACTAAAACATGATATCGTGGAATGTACATACTTTTCTTTACAGTTAGACGAATCCACCGATATGACAGACACTGCCCAGCTGCGTATTTTTATTCGGATGGTATTCAATGACATGTTGGCTAAGGAAGAATTTTTGACAATCATTCCTCTGAAGGGGAAGACCCGTGGCGAAGATATATATGACATTTTATTCAATATTGTAAAAAACTACAAGCTACCAATATATAAATTAGTGTGCATTACAACCGATGGAGCACCAGCAATGACTGGAAACAAAAACGGTTTTGTGGCATTCATTGTGTCGAGCTAATGAAGATTTCCCTTCATTTTTTTCATTCCATTGCATTATACATCAACAAGTTTTGTGTTCAAAAGTTTTAAACACGGGGGAAATTATGGGCACTGCAACAAAAATTGTGAATTCCATCCGTGCACGTAGCTTGCAACGGCGGCTCTTTAAGTTGCAGTTGGAAGATAGGGAGTCACCTGAACACACTGATTTAGTTCTTCACACGGACGTCAGGTGGTTGAGTCGCGGAAAAATTCTAGAAAGGTTTTAAGAATTAGTGCCCGAATTAACAGCTTTTCTAGACGAAAGAGGTGACGACACTCAGATTTTGAAAAACGAAAAATGGCTGACAGATTTGGCATTTTTGACTGACATCACAATGCACTTAAACACCATTAACTTGGAGCTTCAAGGTAAAGGAAAAACTATTATTGAGATGATTAGCGCAGTAAACGCATTTAAAAGTAAATTGCAACTTATGATAGATTAACTGAAAAGAAAGGGTCTGAAACATTTTCCGTCTTTGAAAGCAAGGATTCCTCAGTTGAATTATGATACGTATGAGGCTGAATTATCAAATATTTTGGGACAATTCGAAATGCGTTTTTATGATTGCAGTAAATTGGCATATATAGCATCATTTATGTGTTATCCTTTTTCATGTAAAAACATTGAGGAATTAGCTAAATATATTGATAATAATAAACTGAAATAGCAAGTCAGTTTAATATAAACTCATGTTCTGTTGAAAATGAGTTGGTGCAGATTATATCAGATATACATCTCAAAGCTTCTGATTGGTGTAAGATAAATATCCGAATCTAAGGCAAATCGCCCTTCAACTGACGGCAATGTTCGGGTCAACTTAATTAAATGAAGATAATTAAGTCAAAATATCGCAATCGACTAACTGACGATCATATGTCATCATGCTTGCGATTAGCACCCAGTGGTTATGTACCATCTTAGTAAAAGTATGCTGAGGACATGCAGTGCCAAGCTTCAACATCCAAAGTCATTCCTTAGTTAAGTTTAACACAATATGTAACACTTTTGTTATGTAACAACCATTAAACTCGCAATTTTGAATAACTATGAGTTTTTTCATTGATATTGTAGAGAAGACCCTAATTTTTTTACTTAATTAAACTTAACCCAAACCTTGACTAAAATAATGTATATTGTGCGGAACGCTAATATCTATATATGCTACGGTAAACCCTGGGTAGGTGGGTAGATAGGTAGGTGGGGTGTATCGTGTATTTACGACAACTCTGCATCACATATACTTGCAGCCTCTCAGAGTCGATCGTAAGTAGTCTAAACATTTTGAGGTAGATCGCCAGCATTTCAAGTTCGAGCACCCCTGACATAAAGTATACAACCTGAGCATTCATTATAAAAAAACTTGCTTACCCTATAAGTAAGCTTCAATTGCGATGAGCTGAAATATCGAGGCGGTTGAAAAACCAAATATTCACCAGAACAGCCCACTAATCCTGAATAACTCTTCTCTCGGCATAGACCAACCACTTCTTGACAGTGATCATCAGAAGATACCATCTGAGTAAATTAATATAAAGGAATTATAAATAGTATTTATTAGTAGAATTAAGAAAGGAAAATTTAGAAATGTCTCTCTTTTTGACAAATCACGAAAATTTATTATTACACCAAAATATTCAGCCATCCTTATTGCAAGCACAGTTGGGAATTATTTGGATAATTTTTTATCTTAATAATTATTGGAATAAAACATAATTCGTAATATAATTATTCATGAATGATTTGTTCACCAATAAATTATTTAAATAGCCTTTAGATAAATTATTAATGATTTTAATTGTTTTTTTTTTCAATAACGATTAAAATTCACAACGAAAACCTATATTATATATAAGCAATTATATTTACATTTTGACGCAGAGTTTATGTAGAAGCACAATTCACTTCTTCTCTTCCTTAATTAGCATTCTTATATACTGATGTGAAAGGGGATGAAGAAAATATTAAATCTAGCTAAGGAGAATTTGGATTATTATTTGTAAGCAATAAGGGTTAATTTATTTTTTAGGATAATGTTTAAATGTGTTTGCTACCATAACTCCATTATAATTATTTTGCAAAATGGAACTATGTATTAATGTATCAGGGTTCAATTCATTTATGTTTTCTTATATAAAAAAAGTAACAGATTGCATGAGTATTGTTGCTTTTACAAATATACTAATAATTTTTAAACAAATACATTTCTCATCAGCAGACTATCACTCATAAAACAAATGATTCTTCTTAGCTTTAGGCTACCAAACTTTGATAGAGCAAAAACAATATACATTAAATAAAACTAGTTTTTACGGGTTAATGCACGAAACTTTATTTATTTATTGACGTTTCGTAGCCTTTACAGGCTACGTCGTCAGAATCAAACTTTTATTTAATTTGTCGAGCTACCTTCGAAAAACTTTTATTGAGCGTTCGGTTATTTCATTGTTCGATTTTTAAAGTTTTATTGTCTATGTATGAATTTATTATTAATAAAATAAAGTATTTTACTTAATAAAGTATTTTATTTAAAATTCTTTTTTGTAATTTTGAGTTTATTTATTTGACCCTAACTACCGTAAACTACCACCGGTTCCAAAATTGGGAGACCTTTCTGAGAAGAACTGGCGAAACAAACTCAAGCGAGGCTTTCTATCTCCTTCTTATGTTAAATTATGCAAACATAAAGAACTAATAGTATCTGATGGTCTTGCAGTGTGTGCTCGGGGTTGGGATTTTATCTCTGTATAAGGTTCCCAAGCTGGTGGTATATACCAACCATCTTCTCTATTGAAATTTGGATATTTTTTAATCTCAATAGCCTCGCGCATCATTCGAGGAACGAACCGCCGCTCAGCTGCAAGGATCTGTGGTTTATCAAATCTAATGTAATGGTTTGGTCCCCCTAATGCATATTCACAAACTGCAGACTTATTTTCGCGCCTATGTTTCATATCTGCGATATGTTCTTTTACCCGAGTCCCTATACTCCTCTTTGTTTGCCCGATGTAGGGGAGCCCACAGTCGCATTCAAGTTTGTAGACACCAGAGAAAGAAACTGGTTTCTTTGTGGAAAACAAAGAGTTTTCAGAGAGCACGGGGTGTCTGTGACAAACAACAAAGAGTTTTCAGAGAGCACGGGGTGGTTGTGACAAACAACACCTGGCAGCTGAACTTCAGCATGTCGAGCAAGTACTGAAGGATAATAACCTGAATGTACCACGTCGCCGTCACAGTCGCGCCAAACCTAGCACAGTCGACCGACAACCTGCTATACTACCTTACACGAAAGGAGTCACTGACAAGATTGGGAGGATTCTGAAGCGTGCTTCAATCAATACATACTTCAAGCCGCCAAAGAAGATCAACCAGTTTCTACGACCGGTCAAGTGCAATATACCCTTTCAAGTATCTGGTGTCTACAAACTTGAATGCGACTGTGGGCTCTCCTACATCGGGCAAACAAAGAGGAGTATAAGGACTTGGGTAAAAGAACATATCGCAGATATGAAACATAGGCGCGAAAATAAGTCTGCAGTGTGTGAACATGCATTAGGGGGACCAAACCATTACATTAGATTTGATAAACCACAGATCCTTGCAGCTGAGCGGCGGTTCGTTCCTCGAATGATGCGCGAGGCTATTGAGATTAAAAAATATCCAAATTTCAATAGGGAAGATGGTTGGTATATACCACCAGCTTGGGAACCTATTATACAGGAGATAAAATCCCAACCCCGAGCACACACTGCAAGACCATCAGATACTATTAGTTCTTTTTGTTTGCATAATTTAACATAAGGAGATAGAAAGCCTCTCTTGAGTTTGTTTCGCCGGTTCTTCTCAGAAAGGTCTCCCAATTTTGGAACCGGTGGTAGTTTAGGGTAGTTAGGGTCAAATAAATAAACTCAAAATTACAAAAAAGAATTTTAAATAAAATACTTTATTAAGTAAATTAAATAATAAATTCATACATAGACAATAAAACTTTAAAAATCGAACAATGAAATAACCGAACGCTCAATAAAAGTCTTTCGAAGGTAGCTCGACAAATTAAATAAAAGTTTGATTCTGACGACGTAGCCTGTAAAGGCTACGAAACGTCAATAAATAAATAAAGTTTCGTGCATTAACCCGTAAAAACTAGTTTTATTTAATGAGTGATCTGCGTGAAAACCTAAGAAACAAACAATATACATATCAATAGTCCTCTATGCTACAACTTACAACAGGAATATTAAGATATCGAAGAGCTGTCCTTAAGCAGGAGTGCAGACCTGTTGGTGGTACCCACCATACTTTTGGGGGAGGAGTGCCTTTAGTGACAATGTGCCTTAGAACCTATAAAAGAATAAAATACATATATATATTTTCTACTTATACCAGTAATACTTATCAAAACATGAAGCTACCTCAAATGTATAGCGTACTAAAACAGTAATTACAATATAGAAACTGATCTATTGGCACTTATGATATATAACATTCAGACAAAAGCTTTTTGTTCGTCATCGCAGCTATCTTTGAATGACTATATATACTGTTCTTTTTTTGTTTCCATTAGCAAAAGTTAAGTGAAGCACTAATAGGTCGGTATACCATTAACGCTCTTATTCATAAAAATTAAAACAACTTAATAAACCTGTTTTAACTATTTCACTGTTTTGTCACTTTTTCTCAAATCTTGACAGCGCTAAGAAAGAACGAGACAAAACAGTGTTTTAGCTAAAACCGGTTTATTAAAGTGTTTTCATTTTTATGAATAAGAGCGTTAGAGTAGATTTATACTTGTACTGATTTCTCTTTTTAATATGAAATAGTTGCACTGACCGAGTTAACCCTCTGTCTGTATGTAGTTTGAGTCTGAATCCAGTGCTGTGGAGTAGCTGGTGGAGTTGGATGTGCACCATTGAAGCAAACGCAAATAGCCACTTGATGTTCAGCCAAAGCTTGTGCCAAAGTTGTTAAAAATTGGACACAACGAGCCCATTGACCTCCACAAGCCCAATCTGAAACCAAGTATTTAATAAACATGTATTAAAGGAAACTTCTACTCTTTAAGAGACATGATTCATGACAATAACATTCAAAATTAAATTTCACTGACTCAGTTAGCCATGACCTAATTTATATGCAGCCAACAATAACCAATACGCTTAATCTAGGTTTATTACTTTCTTTCTCATTGCAGTGTTTGTTTTCATGATAAAAGAAATTTCTTCAAATAAAGGTTGGTTCTGCTTTAAAAGAACAGGGGCCTACCGCCTAACGGAATTGCTGTGGCTATAGCTTATGATTTCATTTTGTTATTTCTGACCACTGAAGGTTTTCAAATGCCTCATGCTTTTTTTCTTTTGCATTGGTAATATCAATTTTAAGAAAATGAGCGTGAGGTATTTAGATATAACCTTTCAGCAGTCAGAAATAACAAATTGAAATCATAAGTAAAAGCCATAGCTAACCCGATAGGCAGTAGGCCATTTGGGCTGCATTCCAAACCTACTCTCCGAGTGCAATTTTCAACTGAATATGCATTCCAAACCTGACAGTAAATTTGTAAGAAAATTGTCACAACTAGGTATTTTCCTACTTCTGCTGGTTGCTACTCTGCAACAGTCTCAAGAGTGATAAACTGAGAGCCAGCGTTCCGTAGACTTACGGTATAGTAGCAAAGTCCTTATTAATGCTAGGTATTCTATTTCACCTGCCGTAGATGAAGTGGGGGTTCACTATTCCCATCAACGGTACCTTTGGGCGCGTGGCCAGGAGTCGAAAAGCATCAAAATTGACTCTGAAAACGTGATCGCAGATTGTCTGCCGTTTCAAAATTTAAAATATAACTACAATATATATTTTATGTAAAAAAATATGGTAGATATTTATCCCGGTTAAGCCCATTCCGTCCTGTCCGGCAGTTCTACGCCAACATTTGGGTAGGTTGTCTTCCCATTGTTTCTCTTATCTTCCCTTCTTCGATTTTCATCTCGGTGGTATCAATTTGTGACATATTTTGTCCATTTACCCGTGGTGGACCTAAACATGTGCCCAGTCCATTTCGAGCCCCTGTTAAGATACTTTTGAGTCTGTGTTGTGTGGTTTGAAAACGACCATGTTTGACAACCATAGCTGAGTACTGGGAGTATGCAGGTATCAAACACTTTCCTTTGAGAATTGATTTGCTCTTCTTAGTTTCTTTTAGTGGCCAATACCTTGACTATGTATTGTTGACTTTTCGCTGTATTTCCTTCTGTATTTGTAGTTTAGGTGTTATCACTTGTCCCAAATATACAGTGATGGTCGTATAATTAGAAACACTACCAATGGTCACGGTAATATTATCTATACAGTATTGTGACTCGACCCTGTCCTTGAAATAACTGCCTGCGGCCGAGCGCGAGCGGGGAGTATCCGAGTCATTATACGAAGTACAAAAAAAAACTGTTCTTTCTTGATGTTTAACTATTTATAAGTTATTTCAAAAGCTGAAAAAATCTATTTAGTACATTATTGTGACTATTTACCAAAAACATAACAAATTCAACCATACCTAAATTTAAAAAAATCAAAACAGAAGCGTGGTCATACTCCGTGAACTGTTCTAAACACATTTTTCGTCAGAAAAGCTGGGAAAAAAGTTATATTACACACTTGAATTAAAAAGAACTCACAGTATCTGTTTTCACACATCCCAATAAACATCAGAACATAGCAGTTTATTTTTTCTTATTAATATATTAAAATTTATAGCCATTATACAGGTGTTATAAAAATTTAAATCAATACCGTGAACTACTATTTTCACCCAACAAAAAATTTTTGAGACCTGAATTACTGCTCTTATTACCTGGTTACACTGCTTTTTGCTGTTAGTTCAGTTGTGTGTGCTAACCAACAAGGAGGTTATGTACTGTGAAGTTTTGTTAAAAAAATATATGTAATATACGTTTCTGGTAAAGTTTGACCCGTCAATTCGATTAGGGATTTTATTGGTATGTAGTAACGTATTAACTTTGCCACCATAGCTCATAATTAATGCCATGGGGACTTATTGTGGTTGTAGTTATAAATTAATATGTAACTTTTAAAACCACGACGTAGCATCATTTTAAAAATTATTCGTCAATCCCGTGATCGTCATTACTGTGAACTTGTTGTTCACAGAACTTGTATTTTTTCGGTGTTTAATACAAACACTTTTGTATGGCATTATTCAGAGTCTGGTCATGGAAAAGGACGCCAGACGGTGTAGGTGGCTACTTAAAAAGACATAATGATCGACGAGTGGTCTAGGGAAATGACATTCCAGACCATCAAACTTTGATATTATTTTTTGAAAAAAATGGAAAATAACTTTTGGAAATAAAATGACCTCTTGGTTAGGTTAATGCCAATAAATGATTTTTGTATTATTAGGCAATAAAGAACATCTTCTTTTTCAGAATAGCTTTACAAAACCTATCAAGGCATGATGAAAGTTCACCAAATTGTTTGGGCAAAAGAAAACCCAGATTATCTTCAAGCCAGGCGACTGAGTTGTTTGGAATGTCATTCAGACATCACTTGTCGTCATTTTAGGTTGGAATAAATGTAATCACTAATACAATCATTACATGCAACTCAGAAAATGAGCCCCCTATACCATCATGCTCTAAATTACGTGTCGATGAAATTTATTTTGATAGGTAAAACAAAATTAGACCTCTGAGACAAAACAGGGTAAATTTTTTGGCTGTTGAATATACCCAGAACATTATAATAAGAGAGTTCGCACATTTTTATCATATGATGACTTCAGTGATTCTTATAATTTAGTATCACAGAAATGACGTTCCTCTAAATATCATTTCCGTGAACATGAATGATTGATTTTTTTATTGTCTTTTAAAATTATTGATCAAAGTAATGTTTCATAATTTATGTTATCTTGGTTTAATGGTTTTCGGTAGAACATTTATTATTATCATAACTATATTAATTCTTAAGTTATGATCACTTAGATCATTTCAGTGAAAACGTGCGTCAATTCTGTGAGACTTAAAAAATGATTTTTCATGTTTTTACGTATTAAACGTAATGAAAATTCTGTTTTCTGTTGTGATTATGGTATTTGATTATATTTTGCAAAAAATAAATGTTTGAAACCCAAAAAATCCTCACTTTAATTTTTGTGATTTAATAAAGGCCATTTCGTATAATGACCCATCCACGCGGTAGAGCTGCCCGCCTACAGTACTTTAATTTCATCTACATAATTGAGTTTCTTTCTAGTTTTGTGACTGTAAATATTTTATATCATATGTAATTATATAATAATAATATTGTGAATGAGGAAGGAAGTGTTAGATAAAAGTTTTTAGATAAAAGTGTTAGTTAAAATAATTACTAGGAAGTGTTACATAAAATACATGTTATTTTAATTAAAAAAAATATAGATTTCAGATAGAAAAATATTTACGCCGCGACTGAGACATACGAAAAGCTTTATTATAAATACGCATTCGTATGAAAAGTTTAATTAATGAAGAGTTCAAGCAACCAAAACCAGCACAATATCGACTATTGCTCTTTGCCATATTAAATTATGCAGGTATCTATCTACTTAATTCAATCAAATATTTCCAAAACGAGCGTTTAAGCACGGCTAACTGCTTAGAAAACAATTCACACCGTTCGGTGTCGCTGCGGCGCATTCGCGACTGGATGCCCACCGAGTGTCGCGCTAACTCGAGTGGCGTAGGAATGACACGCTTTCCGACCGTTTGTAAGAAGATAGAATACTTTATAGATAATATTACCGTGCAATGGTCCTTGACATTATGGTTTTTATTTTCAACGATTTATCATTTATTAAAAAAACAATATAAATCCCATTACACAAATGCAGTTTCAATATTACATAATGGACAAACACTTAAATCAATTTTAAAGTAAGAACAATAATGGTCAACTAATTAGAAACAACAACAAAAAAGAAAAAACATATTTTTTTTCAAGTATTAGTAATTATTATTGTTATTTACAAAATAGCTACTATCCACAGTCTACCAATAGTTACAATTAATATTTTAACTATTTATAAAAAATATAATAACTATAATTAGTGGCGTATCCCTTATTTCCAATAACAACACTGCAACGACGTGGCATTGATTCGATCAATTTCATTTTTTTAGGGGGATTAAATTCCATGCTTCAACAAATGCTTCATATAGTTCGTTTTGACTGGTGTTACGTTTGTTTGAGACTTTCTTTTTAAGAATATACCAGATATTTTCTATCGGGTTTAAATCCGGACTATTTGCTGGCCAGTCCAAAACGGATATACGCTGTTCGCTAAGGAAACATTTGATTCTATTGGCAGTGTGTTTAGTCGTTGTGGTACAGGACGCCTTAAATAGCGCTTTCCGTCGGAATTTAACATATTTATTTTTGTTTCATCTGAAAATAACAATTTTTTCCATTCTCGTACCGTCCAATTAACATATTTTTTGTGAATAATAATCGATTCTCTCGGAGTTGCTTGGTACGAACTAAATGCCTTTCGAGCGATTCTTCCAAACAATTTTGCTTCCACTAATCTTCGGCGTATCAGCCTTGACGAGATGTTTCTCGGGTCATCAGGTGAAAAAACTTCATTTTTAATCTGGTTGGGGCCTTTACTTGGGGCTTTTTAGGGTTCCGTAGCCAAATGACAAAAAACGGAACCCTTATGGATTCGTCATGTCTGTCCGTCTGTGTGTGTCCGTCCGTATAAGTTACAGCCACTTTTTTCTGAAACTATAAAAACTATACTGTTGAAACGTGGCAAGTAGATGTATTGTGTGAACTGCATTACGATTTCACACAAAAATAGAAAAAAAAACAATGTTTTTTTTCCTCAAACCAATTTATGGATAGGTCTTCAAAAATAATATTGAGGTTTCTAATATGATTTTCTTCTAAACTGAATAGTTTACGCTAGAGACACTTCCAAAGTGGTAAACCTCATATTGATCGCAATGCCATCTTG